AACTATAGTTGTATTGTAGAATAGAAAGCTAGTAAATTATAAAAAAGTAATAGAAGCACATCTGTGATTGGGAAGTAGTAGTGTGATTATTTTATGATAAACATAAAGGGAAGAATAGAAAAACAATTCTTATATTTGTGTATAGTTAAAAGTATTTACAAGCACATGTTAAGGTTAATAATCTTTGTTTTTGTACTTTTTTGTATTGTAATTGTAGGAATTTCTGCTTCTTCAGAACAGTATTCGTCCTTTCCAATCATTTATCAATTTACCAAAGTACTGGTCCAATTAGAACCTTTCAAGTTTGTCCACAAATAGTCTTAACAAATGTAATTTCGGTAGAACTAATTCAACAAAATACCAGTATTTCGTCCAAAGAATATGTATTGAGTAAATGAGTTTCTAGTTCTAAACAAGTAAGTTTAAACAACCAGTTAACGGTTAAAGAACTGAACTGACAAGCTGAGGAAATGCATTTCCTTTTATACATTTTCCAAAGCTTGGGTTCAAGTGGTCAAAGGATTACAAAGTTGAAATCTGATGGTCTCATAATTCTCATGTAACAAAAATATGAAAGACTTGTTATATCACACATATAAAATATAATCCTAAGATTAGGGCCACATGCCAAACATGTGCCACAGCAAACAGGCCTGTCTCATCAGCATCTGGTGTTTGACCTGCATCTTTTCCATGTTCTTTGTTCCTTTGTTAATTCCCCAAGTAGCCACCATCTGTTACAGTCAAAGAGTCTATTTCTTACGAAATAGAGTTCTTTCTAAAGTACTAAAAGCTAACTCTATGAAATAAAAGTCTTTCTAAAGTTCCACCACTATAATTCCTACGAAATATAAGTATTTCTATAGTTGCATCAGTCTAATTCCTATAAAATAGAAGTCTTTCTAATGTACCCTTATATCTAAGTGCACAGTTTTCAAGATTTCCACCAATACTACACAGCAACACTTATTTTCATCATGGCTAAAAACTCCAACTTGTTTTCTTAGTTATTTCCATCTTGATAATACAAATAGAATTACTAAATATCATTCATTTATCATTTATATCTCATATCTTATCTTCAAAATAACTGATGAATGACTTCTTCCTTCCTCATTTTCCACAAAGTTATTTTCAAAATCAAATGATAATGTTAACTGTAAGCAGAATTTCATGTTAATAATTGAAGAAAGATTAAGTTTAATACATCACCTGATTTTCTTCCTGAAAGGTTTTATTAACAGTAGACATATGTTTAGGACTACTTTTATCAAATCCATTTTCTTCCATCATTTGATCTACTCTTCTTATTCTGATAACAACTTGTTGTTTTGTAATATTGAAACAATCAACACAATAATCAGCATCTGCTTTATAAAAAAATTCATTGAAATAAATGAAAAAAAATAAATTCGATTACCTTTTGAGCACTTTTGGTGATAAAAGTGTTTACATAATTTGCATCTTATTTTTTGCTGATTCCAATAAAATTTCCTCATACAACACCAACAGGTTTTTAAATTCATTTTTACACCAATCAATTCAATAGTTAAACCAATCTCTGTAAAGTATCATTCAAAATAATAAAAATTCATTTAATTCAAAAGACTTTTCCTTCAGAGGAACAGGAAATAGATTTGTAAAAAAAACTGGTAACAGTAACATTAATGAGGTATGTTTTGCTGAGAATATCAAAGATATAAAAATAACAGTAAAATAACTAATAACAAAATGTAATAAGTAGAACATCACTCTTTCCCTACTGAAGGGTCAATCAATCTTGAAAGGGATAAAGTATCCCTGAAATAGGGCGAACTGTCCCTAAAATGGGGCGAACTGTCTCTAAAATGGGGCGAACTGTCCTGGGGCAAACTGTCCAGGGGCAAACTGTTCTGACCCCATTATTACGTTATTATTTCTAAGTGCACAGATATCCCACCCTTTTAAGACCTTGCTTCCACGAAAGGTCTGGGACTTGTCACTATGACTCTGTTATCTTCTTTCTTAAAAGTTGGGTAGTTTTGAAGAGGTATTGCTTCTTGGTCAATTTCTAAAGTTGAGTATGTTGGCACATGTAGTTCCTCTTGTTGAATATCTGGAGCTGTGGCTTGGGCATTCTTTCTTTCCAAGTATTTCCAAAGTCTTTTCCTAGTAAGTTTTGCTAAATTTTCTTTTATATGCCAACCATAGTATGAATGCAATGCCAATAATAATTATTGTTGGAAAAGCAATGTTATTCAGCATTTTGGTTGGAGTTTTTAGCCATGATGAAAATAAGTGTTGCTGTGTAGACATACTTGAATCAATTCCTAATTTATAAGCAAAGTTGATATGCTTGTTTTGCCTTGTTAAAGTGTCTTGTATATAGTCAATGACTTGTTGGAACTGTTGGTGTTTTTTGCCAACTTCATTGTTTATACCTAATTGTAGTAACTCAGTGAGCCTTGAAACTTCCAGTTTTGGTTCTTCAATTTCATTGTTGATTTTCATTCTGATTGACCTGGTAGCAGCTGTTGGGAATTTACAACCATTCTTTGTATAGTAGATAAAAGTTTTCCTTCCAGAAGATATTCCATTATGATTCCTTTCAGCATCCAAAGGGTTCTTTTTTATTTTAAAGAGATATTGTGTTTGATCACATTCCCTATATCTTATATCTTCTTTTGTTATGTGGTAGGCATGGTGTAGTATTGGATCAATTGAAAATTGAAATCCTTTATGCTTGATGAGGAATTGTTTAGAACACAATCCATTTTTTGTTATGATTCCAATGTCACAAATGACTTGAACTGATTTTAGTTCTGTGCATGTGTTGAGTGTTGTCAGGTGCTGTGAGTTCCTTGTGTTGGATTCAGTATTATTGGAAGTTGGGATGCCAAAGGTGTAGGCAATGCAACCATCTTATTTCTCACAATAAACTCATTGTATAAAAGTTGAGATATTTGTTTAAATACAGTTTGTAAGTTTTGAAAGTTCTTATTAATGTTTCCAAGTAAGGCAGATGTTCTAACTGCATTTTCAATGTCCACTTTCTGGAATTGTGGTGTGTTTTCAATCATGTTTTCCTCCACTTTCCTTTTAGCAATATCAGGGTTATACTGTAAGAGTGTAAATTTCCCATTTGTTTCACTGTTTGAAATTGGTTCCCTGTTGGACTTACATACCACATATTTAATTTTGGTAATGGGTTGAAAGTGATTTCTTTGTGCTTCAATCTGAATCATCTAGTCTGAATCTTGCAGTAGATTTCAATTTGGAATTTTTCAGCATTGTTATCTATATCCCAAATATCAGGTGAAATAAGTGTTTTTACTATTGGTGTTGATTGGGTTTTTAGCAACATGTTGCTCCAATCACCAGTGTATTAGAACTGAAAAGTTTTGTGACAACAATGGAGACTGTATAGATTATAGCAATGAAGATTGTTATCATAGTTTGTAAAAAGAACAAAACAAACTAAATATTCCAATATCTGCACTAATTCGATTATTATCTGTATCTGCAGTTGGTTGTGGCAAAAAACAGCTTAAATGCTCAAATACTCATTGTATTCCAAAATTTTACGAATGCAATTTTAAAGTTGATTGTCCAACTACTGAAGATGAAGAATTTTGTAATTTCAGAGAATTACTTATAAGTATCTTGAACAAAACTTCATTTTCTGAAGAATTGATTTATAATTCAAAGCATAAAAGCAATAACAGCTGTTTATTGAAATATAACTCAGCAAATTATCTATTAACAAAAATGAATCCACCCTTCAATGAGTTAAAGTTTTGTATGGAAAGTCATCAATGTAAATGTGGACAGTTCAAGTGTAAAAAATTCAATTATTGTATTTATATTGATCAGGTTTGTGATGGTATAAGACATTGCTTAGAAGGGGATGATGAAAGTTCTTGCGGTAAGCTATAAATAACAAAAGGGTTTGGGTAGATTTTAGCCTGGTTCACTAAAAAGAGAATGTGATAGTTTGAATTCAAAAGAAAAAAAATCCAGACAGTTGACCCCAAAAAAAAAGGGTCAACTGTCCTTTCATAAATCAAATGATTTACTTCAGTTCTTCTCTATTCTTCTCTACATTTCAAATGTTATGTTTTCTTATTCTTTAATGTGAAAACTTCTGTATTGCCCAATAAACAGCAAAAGTTTCTTTTTGATATGCAGCATACTTGAGCTGTGAATTGATAAGTAATTTTGATGCAAATGAAACTGGTCTCTTGGTTTTCTTTCCATCAGCTCCAACAGTTTCTTGCTCTAAGATCATTTATGAGTCAACAACTGAAATTATCAAAAATTTCAAAGTGCTCCAATTATCTTGAAATTTGGTTCAGGGTTAGTTTGGGTTAGGGTTATGGGTTAGGCCACTCACAGAACTGTTTCTAATGGTTTGATTTCCAACTTGGTGTTTCTGTTCTTGTGTTAGTAAGATGCTGGTTCCTGACAAACACTAATTTGGGTACTGGTTAGAGGGCCATAATCTGTATTTTATAAACATGGGATTAAAATGTACATTATTATAGTGGATCTAATAGTAAACTTGCATTAAAAATGCAATTTGTTGTATCAGGATTGTAGGAATTTCATAGGACAAGTGAAGTAGACTTTGATTTGTAGTTAGGGGGGTTCCATCTAAGGGTCAGGGTAATCAAAAATGTTCAGGAGTGACAAGGACTTAGTTAGGGTTAGGGTTAGACTATGCATTTAGGGATGTTTTATGTTGTATCCACTTACATAATGTTATCATTCTTTTAAATATATGAATTATTAAGAATACATTATTGTTTTTTGTAAGATTATTTCATGTCCAATTCAAAAAGTTAGTCTGTATTTATGCCTTCATACATTCCATAAAATATATTGTTTACATTATAGATTGTTTTTCATTAGGCAAATGTCATATACAAAATTTAGGAAACAGTATTACTTAACTCAATAGTTTGGTTTACCTTCTGTAAATCGTAAAATATAAATTGTAAATATTATATTTAATTTGAATGTTAATCAATTCTTTTGAAAAGATAGTCAGTTGTTTTCAAAGGTTTCAAAATGTCATTTACATCAAGCAACCAACAAGACTTTTTATTTCTTTGTACAACACTTCCTCTCAAAAATTTGTTGTCAACTTGAATAGAAACCATTTCATTGTTTAAACTATCTTCTCCAATTTGAACTGCTGTGAAGAATTTAAATTTTTTCTGGCCAATATCTCCAATTAGTCCACTCATTTCATTGTAATCTTCAGGCATAAGCCTAAAGCCTACATCCAGGTGCATTTCCCCTAAAAAATGCTTAGATTTCTCAACAGCAATTGCATTTAATGACTTTAATTCAGTGAAAATAATCTTTTTCCCATTTACAATTTCACATTTCAATTGATTAGTTTGCAAAGTCATTTGCTTTGAGTTTTCATTCCATTGAATGGTATCTTTTTGGCCAAGATGAATATCCTTTAATGATACTGTGATGTTGGCAGATGGAGATTGAATGACAATTTTATGCATATAGTAATCATCTTTCAGTTGGCCAAAAATCTTTATTCTACTGTGAGAAAATCCAGCAATATATATATATAATCTCCCATTTTCCCAGTTACATCATAACATATTTGTTTAGTAGACATAGTTGATTTGTCAACAACATTTTGTGCAAAGTGTGGATCTCCAGTTGCAGATGCCCATGGTGAAGGAGCATTGGGTGAAAAGTAAACTGGAATTTCATTTTGGAATGTTTTTCCATTTGATATGCAACTTGCAGCTATGAAAAAGGACTCTTGGGAACCAGTTTTAGTAACTGTAATATCCAATGAATCTTGCCCAATTGAAAGTGGTCCAACATTATCTACTGTAGCTATAGAAGTGTCTGGTCGAGTTATGCTAAAGTAGACAAAAGTAGACATTAATTGATGTTGCAAAATTTGACTGTCATTGTACTAATTACCTGCATGAGCCACCACCACTACCACCTTGAATTCTGACTCTAATTGGTGAAGTTTGCTCAGTTGACATCTCAATTTCAATACCATAGCCCATAGGTAGATTACCACTACCATATTCTAATGAAACATCAAAAACATCACAAATGGACTTGAAAATGAATATTGATAATACATACGTTCACGTGAATAAACATATCCTCTAACTTCAAATTCAAGTGTAGTCCCTCCACTGGTACATGAATAAGTGTAGGTCAGTACATAATTCTCAGTTGTTCCTGAAAACAAACTGCCTTGGAAATTTTCATATACAAGTGCAGAATTTACTGATTTTGAGGATTGTAGTAAAATGGTTCCATCTGGTTTTGTAAGTGTATAGCTGTAAAACAAATTAAATTGATAGATTCCTGATTTGAATGTTAATGTAAAAGATACCTGCAAGTAGGAGTTCCAGTGATTTGTTGGAAATAAAGGTTGTAACTACTACTATCTTCCAAAATTTGAGCTGGAGATTCAACTTTCAGACTAAAACTGTCTGAATGAACTGTAATTACTGTAAATAAATAAAAATATATTAATTTGCTTTGATATTAAAAATAATCTAAAAATCATACAACCAAAACTCAGAAAAAGAAGAGCAAAGTTATGTATTGTAAACGCCTTCATGATTTTTGGATAACTAAAAAAAGTTGGGTGCTTTTAAGGATTTTTTAACAATAGATGAGGAGACAATTTAAATAAAACAGTCTTTGAAATATTTCTATATTTTTACAAAAAACCAAAGAAATTGTCAAATATTTCTCATGAATAATTTGAATAAACAGATCAGGCTATTTTATTAAACATAGTATTTAACCTAAAAATGTAGGACTAGTAGTATTTTATTATTCAGCAAAATATTTTTCTTCTTCTATATATTTTAATAGTGTTTTGTATTGAACGCTTAAAGCTGGTGGGAGCAATAAAGAAATCATTCACTATCAGCTTTACAATGGAGGTAAAAATTTTTGGTTGGGAATGTCAGACAACAAAAGAGAAAATATTCTTTACACTTCTTTTCATTTTGGCAACATTTCAGACATTTTAAAAGAGGGTGAATAATTTCTCTCAATTTTTGCATGGACTCATGTCTATAGGCTTATTGAATAAGAAGAGGTGTACTTTGTTATATTGTAATTGTAGAAATTTTATGTTGTATGGTAATTGATAAAATAGACAAAGGACATTGATAAAAATAAAATTTAGCCTGGGAAACTTTAAAATCTAAAAACTCCTTGTGTTTAACACAGTCAAAAACATTTTTTTATTATGATTTTTCATTATAGGCTTAAGATTAAAACAAATATTTATACCAATTGATTCAAACGGTAATAAGACAGTTAGAATAGTATCAGAGTTGATGTTAAAGTAAAAGTTTAATAGGAATTTTAAAAAAACAAAATATCAGAAATTTCTGGAAATTGTTAGAAATGCCTTCGTTAATATAGAAATATGACTCATTTTCCAGAGAAGGCCTATTTTCATAGAGATGTACCTACACATTGACTCTAGTGACATTTTTTCTAAAAATTCTTTCCCTTCTGCTGTGTATATCTGAAGGAGTTCACACTTAAATCATTTCAGTACTGATTAAGGTCATAGTGGATCCATTTAGCACAAATCTTTCCCTATCTGAGTTCTTTTGTCATTTATCCAATAGCTACATAACAAATTTTTTGAAGATTGCTCTCTGTAAAATAGTCTGATCTCTACTTTTGGGGCTATTTATTTCTTCTCAGTTTTGAAATTTTACAACTGTCTTTGGACAACCACATCTTGCAAGTCATCAAAATTTTTTCTTTCCTTTTTATAACATATACCTACCTTCTTATGAAACATTCACTCAAAATGTCATCCAAAAATAGCTTTTTGATCATCTGTAAAAGAACTTAGAAAAACTTTCTCAATCACTAAAAAAGCAATGAATTTTCAACAGTGTTTACACAATAAAAGTTTTTTTATTTACTAAGAGTATTGGAGAGTATCAATGACATTAGTTGAGTTGTTTTAATAAGAAAAGCACAAAGTTTGAAATAATTTGACCCAACCTTATATCTAACAAATATTGTTCATATTTTGTCCACTAAATATTATATCCAACAGAAGTTATTTGGAAGTAGCATTTGTACAGCATTCATGTAACATTACAATTTTTACATTCAGACACATCTATCACTACTTACAAACTGGGTATCATAGGCATCTTTCAAAATATCTAAAAAATTTGTTCACTATAACCCTACTTTCAAAAATTAGAAAAGAAAATGACAAGAAGAATTTTAGTGTAGCAAAGACTTTACATGTGGTAGAAAATTTTGATAAGTTAATAATTTTACCTTAACCTTAATCTAATCATATTTTTTTACCTAACCTATTTGAATAAACTTAATGTTTGATAGAACCCAACCTAGTATTTATCAATAGTTTTAATATTTTTCATAGACATTTTCCCACGCTGAAATCTAGCCTTGAAATATTTCACATATGCCTGTCTTTATCAACAAAAACTATTTCAAAAATATCCAAGTAAATAATATTTTACAGTTGAATGAAAAATTTTTTAAATGTGTCTAAAGAGATACAACACAACTAGCCCACTACCATAGATTCTTTATAAGATTTTGTTCTTCGCTTATAACACAAAATTCCTAAGAATTTCGTATAAATTTTATTTGATATTCTTTTGGTCTCTCACACCATTTTATTACATTCACTCCCTTTTATACTTTGTTAGTGTCACTTAATTGGGTGTTTGACTGTGCTCATCTGTATTGCCACATTCATGCCATGTTCATGTTGGACTGTCCCAACTCTGGGCTAAGTCAAACTCCCTTCTTAAGTGACGCTCAGACACTGACGCTCGCACATTAACACACATTCACTCATATCATGTAATGTGAACGGAATGTTTAGTATATAATGTTCTGTTTAGATTCTATATTAACCTTAACAATCTGATCTGTTAATTCAAAAAGATCTCCATAGACCTATACAAATGTATTTGAAAATATTCTTAACCTCTTTAAAAATACCAATGAAAGAGTTTAAGTAGATGTTTTTGAAAAATTGTCACAAGACCTTTTGGTGAGAAAACACTTATAAGCAGGCACACTGGTAGCAGAGGTGTTAATAGAAATCATAAAGACTTGTACAATTGTATACACAATACTGTTCTTCTTAACATGCATTAATCAGATATACTTCATCCTTATATGCTGATGCTAAATTTACTAACTCAATCAATTAAATATCATTATTAAGGTAGAATATAAAAATGGTCAAATATACAATCTACATGTTTTCTTGATTGTTGGACTTGTCCTACTAAAATTGTTATGTCTTATGCAACTCTCCAACCCTCGAAATTCAACTATTATTTAGAAGAGGAAAACAATAAAAACATGACCATATTTAGAACTTTTCTTTGTCTTAAAATGTTACTTTTGTTTTTGTGAACATTGAAATTTGTGAACTATCAACCCTTAAAAGAGTATATAAACCCTACAAAATTAACAGTTGACAGTTCACTTTTCTAACCGTCAGCTAGTTGTTTAAACTAGCTTGTTTAGAACTAGAAGCTCATTTTACTCAATACATATTCTTTGGACGAAATACTGGTGTTTTATTAATTAATTCCTACCAAAATTGCCTTTGTTGGACTATTTGTGGACGAACTTTAAAGGTTCTATTTGGACCAGTACTTTGGCAAGTTGGTAAATGATTGGAAAGGATGATTACAGTTATGACAAACCAGAAATTCCTACAATTACAATACAACAAAGTACAACTGTGCAGACTAATCAAGTGAAGTGTGAAATTGTAAATGGCCAAAAGATTGTTTCCACTGAATTAAAGTCATCAACTGCAGTTGCTGTTGAAAAATCTAATCACTTTTTAGGTGAAATGCATTTGGATGTTGGTTTGAGAGTTGAGCCTAAAGATTACAATGAAATGGGTGGACTGATTGGTGATATTGGCAAGAAACAATATAAATTCTATTAAGCAGTTCAAATTAGAGATAATAATTTGAATAATGAAATGGCATCTATTGAAGTTGACAATAATTTGTTGAAAGGAAGTGTTGTACAAAGAAATAAAAATTCTTGTTGTTTGCTTGATGTAAATGATATTTTGAAACCTTTAAAGATAAACAACTATCTAATTAAAAGAATTAATTAACATTCTAATCTCCAGTTGTTTAGTGTTAACAGAATAACCTGGAAAAAGTAAAATATTTATTTAAATGAAAAGAAGATATTAGTAATGTAAAATTTCAATAAATGTTTTGTAATTGAAAACAAGACTATTCAATACTGATGCTGTACACATACATTTGTCCACTATATTCTGTAATATATAAATAGTATTGAACCATTATTGTGTTATTTTGCCATCCAATCATAAACTATGTGTAACCCTTTCTTTTTCAGGTTTGCTAGGCTATGATGTGGTATGAATCATTTTATTGTCTCTATTTCTTCTTTTCTTTTTGTGTAGTCCTTGTCCAAGTAATCCATAATGCCTTCATTATACTGTCTCTTGTACTGCACATATCTTGTAAACATTTTCTGTAGGCCCTCTAATCTCTTATATGCCATATATCTATTGCATTCTAGCTCCTTTTCGCCATTAAACAGGATAGGTGTATACACCTTTTTGTCCTTAAAAGTTATTGTTTCTCACAATTCATCTACCCATCTTTTGTCTTTTAAAGTTAGTTTTTGTTTTTTTGAGCTTTTTCCTTTTAATACCAATGATATCCTTACCTGCTGCAGCTTTTCTTTCCTTCATCCTGTTATTGATCATCCTAACTTAGAAAGCATAGCAGTCAGCTTGTCCACATCTCCTTCCAGTATTGTCCTGGGTGCTATCATGTCACACCCTATCAACAAGTCTACTTGTTGATTTCTCAGTTCTGCGATAGGGATGTCTTTTAGATATAGCCATCTCGTTTTTTCTGCTTCTGTGATGGTTTTCTGGTTTATCATAGTGATCTCTGGGTACTCCAATGCTTTTTAGTGTCTTCCCTTAATCTCAATCTCACATTTCACAGCCTTGTGCCACTCTATTCTTCCCATCATTGCGAGACCTACTAAAGACTCTTGATTTGTCATTTTGTGATTTAAATGAAAAGCAATGTAATTATTTAGAAAATCTTATTAAGAATTGCTCCAAAATAGAAGTGATCAATCTATCTGACAGTAGTAAAATATGAAATAGTTTTTCTTATATTTGTCTTGCACTGCAATCGTTGTCTGATGCTTTAAAACATCTTTATTTTTACCATTGTGATTTTTACCAGAAGGACAATGCAGAGAAATAGAAAAATTACTTGAAAATTGCTCTAAACTAGAAACTTTAGGGATGTGGCAGAAAACGGCTATAAATCTATGGTTTTATCCTAACCCTAACCCAGTCCTTGTTTTTGCCTAACCTTTTTGAATAGCCCTAACCCTTAGATGGGACCCTCCTAAGAACATATCAACAGTTATCTTATTCCTCCTAACCATTTCCCAGGCTGAAATCTAACTTTCAAATATTTCATTTATGGCTGTTTTCGACCTGTCCCAAACTTTAGATATATCTGAAAATGGTGACATGGGAAATGGATTGTTCCATATTTTGCAATACCTTGAAAATTCATCAAATAATTTAAAAAATCTTGATCTCCAACTGTGTAATTTAAATGAGACAGAAAGTAGAATGATAGGAATTTTTTTGAAGAGTTGTTCTAAAATTGAAACAATAATTTTATCTGACAATACAAACATGGGAAATGGATTTTTTGAAATTTGTCAAGGACTCAAAAAATCATGAAATAATTTAAGAGATCTTGAGTTATAACAGTGTGATTTAAGTGAAGAACATGGTAAACATTTAGGAAATCTTATGGGAAATTGTTCTAAACTAGAAATGGTTTTTATCATATTTGTAAGGGGCTTGAAAGATCATTCAATACTCTAAAGAATGTCTGTATTAGAAATTGTGATTTGAATGAAGAACAAAATTTGATGCTAAAGAATTTACTGATAAATTGTTCTAAAGTCAAAAAAACTTGAACATTGAACCTAAATTGACTGACAAAAGAACTTGAAAATTTGCTTGTAAAAGAATGTAGGATTAATTTATCTTTTTGAGCTGGAAAACTCGTCTCTATGAGTCTTGTGTGGATCCTTCTATCTGCCTTCTTAGTGATGATTGTCATATCGGCTCTGGTATCCTGGATCTCTACAAGGTTACCATTTTTGGAGTGTTTGGGATCATACTTTATCTTCTATCGTACCTTCTGACCATCAGGGCCTTTTAGTTTGTTTTCCATCTGTGCCTTTATGCTTTCTAACCTACTATTTATGGTAGCTTTCATCAACATAGTCAATTGATGGTCTCTTTCTTCCAGTGCTGCTTCCTGGCTAGCTTCCAGCTCTTGCCTCAGCAGGTTCTCTTTTTTCATTTGTCTGACTTCAAAGTGAGCTGTTTCTTTGCTTGTCATCACATTTTGGCATAACGTTTTTCTTTCATTCATTCTCTTCCTGCTTTTCTACCATTTCTGCATCATCTCTTTCATTTGCTCTTCCATACATATTTCTTTCCTCTTCCCTGAGGGAGCAGCTGCTGCTTCTTCTTGAACAATTATTCCCAGGCATGCTTCCCTCTGCTCCTATGTATATGTTTTTTATATCTGCTTTGACATCTGCCTTTCTTATTTCATCACCCAAGCCCATTCCTTGTGGGTTGTCAACTTTAGGTGAGTAATCATTCTTGACCATTGTCAGATACTTTTTTATGTTTCTTCTGGTTTCTGCTACTCAGTCTTCCAGTTCCCCAGTGAAGGATTTTTCCCATTCATCCAGCAGTTTCTCTGCCATGAAGCATCATAGTGTGAATATTCTTTGCAGAGGCCTCCTCATGGACTAAGAATGCAATAATTTTTTGCTGATTGGAATATGTAGACATGACTTGTTGAGCCAAAATAATTTTGTAATGGCTTGACAGAACCAAGTGAAAATTTTCACAATGAAAGTTTACAGATTAAGTAATATATTTGGAAAGTATCAATATTATTAGTTAGGCCATTTTAAAAATAGAGCAAAATGTGTAATACTTTCAGATTGTACCAAATATTTAGTTACAACTACAGACTGCAATAAAAAAGGGGTCCACAGAAAATGTCCACAAATAATAAATTTCAAGACAAGATTTTCAATTGAGAAATGGTTAGTAAGAAAAAGACAGCAACTGATTTGTACTTAGGAGGGTCTCCTTTAAGGATTAGGGGTAATGAAAAAGGTTAGGTACAGCCAAGGGCTGGGTTAGGGTTAGAAATTGAAATTGGATTTTTTATCAACAAAAATTCAAAATTTAGAAAAGAAAAAGTTTCAATTTTTTAAATTGTTCAAAATTATAAAATTTCCAAAATGTTTTTAAAATTTTATTGAATGAAACAATCAATTGTAAACCAAAACTAGCAGTTTTTGTAAACTGTTTAGATTAAGATTGAATATTGGAGATTTTCTAACAGCAGTATTTGTATTGATAACGGCCCTAATAAATGGACACTTTTCAGGTGAGAGCTACATTTTCGAAGAAGAATATTGGAGAGAGAGTACTTCCTGCTCAATCTTGGAAACAACCTTATCATTTTCCCTGCTATTTTCAACATTTATTCCACTATTCATAGTGATTGAATGCTTCAAATCCATTCAAAGTTCTTTAGCACTGCCATTTATGATAAAATGTAGACACACAGCCTTTATTATAAGAGTGAAAATTAGAAATTATGCTTATGTACACATACATTCATCAGCTATAAGAAAAATTACAGTTGTATCATAGACAAAAGAATTGTAGTCCAATTTTTTAGCAATGTTCAATCAGTAATGGAACTAAACTGAAGTAACTGACCTCCAAGTCCAGACAAGTCATAAGTATTTTTCTTTTATGTGAATATTTTAGGAAGAAGGCAATGGTATAATTTGTTTTGTTATTACAATTCATTGTGAAGAAATGATCCCTTTAGCTTTTAAACAAAATTTCTCCTAACACCTCTAATATCTCTTTAAGAGTCATTTCTTGATTTCTAATATTTCATTATAGTTGATGCTAATGCTAGTTTATGTTTTGCAAATTAACTCAATGTTTTTTAAACTCTATATATGAAAGTTTGTTTGTTCATTTAACAAAAAAAAAATTAATAGTACCTTTTGAACAATCGTAATAGACATTCATGGTTTTAGCATTGCCAACAAATGGATCATTTCCAATATATTTTTTCTAGTTTAAAATTAGACAAAATAGTAAAAGTGTATAGTGTGCGGCAGTTGGATTTAAACCACTCTGATTGTTGATCATTGGCTAGTAAGAAAATAATTTTTGAATGTACAATTTCTAACCCTAGCCATTTTTTAAGCAAAGAAAATCTACTTACAATAGCACAACTTTAAATCCTCATCAAAACAATCAATTTTAAAGTCACAAACTTTTTTATAAGAAATGAACTTGAAGTTACAATAGTGAATTTGAAGGTCTAGAGTTAAAAGGAAAAGGAATTTTTTACATATGTTGCTTTGTAGAATAAATATTCTTACTCTTTTTACTATAAAATTGCAGTTTTGTAAAACAATTTATCTCATCACTGTGATCTGAACAATCATGTTTCATGTTGCAAAATTGTTTCTCTGGTATACACTGTTGATTATTACATGCTTTGTAACTATTGAGAAAATTAAATGTATAGCTGTTGCGTTTGTGTATGTATGAATGTGTGTAGATTTTTGTACTAATTTATTAAAATCTGGCTAGGCTAACATCTTGTTAACCTTTAATATAGCCACTTTAAATGAATCAGTCAAAAATCTCCTCTCTCTCTTACTTGGAAGGGCATGATGGAAAATCTAAAAAAAAAAAATTTTGAACAATAATCTTTCTTTTAAAAAAGAAAACATTTTCTTTTTACCACAATGAATTTCATCAGTTTTGTCTGAACAATCGTTGATGAAATTGCACAGAAAACTTAAACTAATTGCTTTTGTTCCATTATTGCATTTGAATAGTGAAAGTTCAGTTGAACAATTTTTTTCATCACTACCATCAAAACAATCCTTTTGACCATCACATTTAAACAATGAAGATATAAATTCATTGGAACTTTTACAAAAAAATACTTTAGGATCATTGATGTATTTTATATGGCTGTTGAATTTTGTGAGTTGTTTTGTCATAAATCGTAAATTTTCTCTTCTAAGTCTTTTCAAATCTAAAAAATCTATTTTTTTGCATCAAGTAGGCTTTTTGGATGTATTGTTCAGTTCTTTAACATAGGATAGGGAGAAAATGTACCAAGAGATTAAAAACGTTCTTGATACATTTTCTCGCACACTCCCGTACAGTTTACCAGTTTTCTCTTCGCATACAATATAATCAAACATCTCTTGTTCGCAAGGTATCGATATCAACTGGTTATAGTTGGCAAATTCTTCATATTTCCTTAGATAAGTGCAAGGTTCTTTATAAAATTCAGGTTTTGGTTCATTAGGCTCCAAAATGCACCTGTCAAAGATTAGTTTTAAATGTTTAATAAAAAATGATTTTTGTTTGTTTGTCAATTGTGTTTACATTGAATTTTGTCAAAATTTCATGCCCCACAAACCAGCAAAATGATGACTGATGTTATCATATTTCCATATGTTTCTTATTAGGTAGAAAACCTTAGAAGAATTAAAAAAATATGAAAAAGTTTGTTTGTTTGTTTTTCTCTTTTCAAACCATTTGGAATTTTCCACTGATTACTAAAAGCCATTAATTTTTTTATCGACATCTCAGAAGAATTACGAAAATGAAGAGATATTAAAGCATTTTCAATAAATCTAGCTTCGTCTTGAGAAGACACTCCAATAAGATTTTTACCCTTAACATTACAAAAGGATTTTCCTTGATTATGTGACAAAGTTGCATTAACTTTATATAAATAATAGCAACTATTTAAATAATTTCCAATTTTTGAGTTAGGACTATTATCATCATTATCACATTGAATGAATTGTTTAGAACAAACAATATCTAATCCAGTAATTTCATCTAACCACAATTTCATAAAATTAGTAACATTACATAGATTTAGATTTGTGACATTTCTTAAACAGTCAAGTGAAAAGATAAAACTATCACTCATTCTATTTTTACTTTGTCGATTGATTGTTCCACTGTTAAAATTGAAATATTGGCATATAACCCTTACTTCATTAGCATCAATATCAAAACCAGAAACATTATACCAATAGCCATCATACTCAACTTGTAGTCTTCCCATGAATGTTTGTAGAATAAGCATATCAATATCATTTGGTTTAGTAAATGGTACAAGACCATCAAAACTAGGAAATTTTTTTAGCCATTTGATAGTAGGATTATTAGAAATTTGGCAAAAGTTAGTTAAACATTCTGGTGTTGTTGTCCAGTTAAAATCAATAATGTCCATATTATCTTCATTACGAATGAACCGTTTTGAAAATTTTACAATATTACTGCAATGCTTTACTGATTTGTTACGAAAAAGACAATAAGGTTTTGAAATATCATTGAATCTTCCATAAATAGGAACAACAACATCTGATGTAGCTCCATCATCTTCAATAAAAGTGTAATAATCTTGAAAAAGAAAAATTCAAAACTTTCTAAAAAGTTGCTTGAATAAGCAAAAAAAGAAAAAAATCACATGTTGCATTCAATAAACTGCATTTAATGTAGAAAAGAAAATTAAGATTAGTAAGCTGATGTATGTAATGGAGTTCGTGTTCCTCTTCCTTATAAAATATAATTTGAGCTTTTTTGGCGCCTAATAAAAATAAATATATCATTTTTATATTTACAAGCATTACATAATACAGGTTTTTATTTACTAAAATCTTTATTGCTGTAAGCATTGACATTATATTTTTCATAATTCATATTGTTGCAGACAAGACTCAGTAATTGTCTTGCATAGGTTGTTGACATATTACTCGTAATCTTTACATCATTAAGCGTAATAGGCATACCATAGCAATACATCTTTGAACATTGTTTGTTAAACATGGCAAAATAATCTAATGTCAAGGTTATAATGACCTTTTTAAAAACAGGTTAATAATGGTAGGAGATGAAATGAGACGGCTAAGAAAACAAGAGATTATAGAGCAATAATCCAAGTTCACCTAAACAGTTGACCATCTCTAACAACTAAAGAAAATCTATAAAGAATGAATAAGTGTTACGGATGAAGAGGTTACCTAACCCTTAATCAGATAGTCACTTGTCAAATGAACCGAGATAAATCTCCATTACCCAAATTGAGTAACTCTTACTGAATTCAGTCCGTTTGAATAAATGTTGTAATAAAAACAAGAAAACAATGTAATAATCAAAAGAAAATAAATCATCAATTTATGACTTCTCATTTCCAGTTTAAAAGAAAATCCACATACACAGAGAGAGAGAGAGAGAGAGGAGAGAGAGAGACAAACAAGCAATTAACAAACAACCAAATACTACAATAAATAAATAAATGAAAGTGCCAATCATCACAATGATTTTTTTCAATCAGATAAATTATGTATGATTTTTAAATTGTTCATTTTCTTTAGGCCTATTATGCTCCAGAGTTACATTATGAAAAGCTTTTACTGTATGAACAGAACGTTACATGTGTATGAGTGAATGTGAGTCAGTGAATGTATGTCAGTATGTGAGCGTCACTTAAGAAGGGAGTTTGACAGTCAAACAATTTCGTAATATAAGTGAAAACCAAAATCTTATAAAATATTCTTTTTTTCAAATATTATTCTCCTCAGAGACTATATTGTTTACTGATTTTATTGAAATATGGTTAGGAAGAATTTGATAACTATTGCTCTGTACTAAAGGTGGTCCCATCTAAAGGTTGGAAAGTGACAAGAGATGGGTTTCGTTTCTCATTTTTATTACAGCTTATTAAATATAAAATATGTAACTACAATCCGGATATGAAGCTTCTTCTTTCAAAGCCATTAAATGTATAAAAAACTGTAAGACAATGTGAAGATACTGAATATTTAGATCAAAGTGTGTACTTTGTTGTATTGCAATTGTAGAAATTTCTGCTTCTTCAGAACAGTATTCATCCTTTCCAATCATTTATCAACTTACTAAAGTACTCACATCACATAGAACCTTTCAAGTTCCTACACAAATAGTCTTAAGAAATGTAGTTTTGGTAGAAATTAATCAACAAAACACCAGCATTTCATTTAAAGAATATGTATTGAGTAAATGAGTTTCTAGATCTAAACAAGTAAGTGTAAGCAAACCAGTTAATGGTTAAAGAACTGAACTGACAAGCTGGGGAAATGCAGTTCCTTTTATACATTTGCCAAAGCTTGGGTTCAAGTGGTCAAAGGATTACAAAGTTGAAATCTGATGGTCCCATAATTCTCATGTAACAAAAATATAAAAGACTTGTTATATGACACATATAAAATATAATTCTAAGATTAGAGCCACATGCCAAACAAGTGCCACAGCAAACAGGCTTGCCTCATCAGCATCTGGTGTTTGACATGCATCTTTTCCATGTTCTTTGTTCCTTTGTTTATTCCCAAGTAGCCACTATCTGTTACTGTCAAAGAGTCTATTCTCTTCGTAGCTACAAATAACTGGATAATAAATACTTTCATTTTGTATTTCTCTGTTGTTTTTATGTAGAGTTAATGTGGAAATATTTTCATTAAAAGTAGCAAAATTATATTGATTAATTTGAAAGAAGCTAAAATTAAATTCAATAAAATTTGATTGTCTACATATTGAATTATCAGTATCGCTTAATTTTTTCACTGTCTAAATAATATTATTTGACATTTTAGGAGTAATTGTAGTTTTTTTGTATTGTAATTGAAAGAATTTGTCCTTTCCAATCATTTACCAAAGTTCTCACATCACATACAACCTTTCAAGTTAATTATAATAAATGAAATTTTGTAAGAAATTGATTACCAAGTTTTGGAGAGTTGTATAATGTAGTAGGAGTTGGACATAGTCCAACATGTAACAGTTAATAGCAGAAAGGATATTGTGCATTTAGGATGCATTGAAGAGTTCAGTGCCATCCCAAGATTCCTAATCTATTAGAGGATGAAATGTAGCAATTTGAGTGTATGGTATCAAATGTGTACATGTACAATAATATTTCACTTGTAGCAGACAGCATTATAATTATAGATATTGTACAGTTGAAAAAAAAGTTACCAACTGTAGAAGAATAAAATATATATGTAAATAATGCTCTCCCTACTCTATTACATATTAAACAAGTATGAATAGAGAGTTTTTTTAATTATAAAACAAGCCAATAACTTCAAACCTTTTCTATAGTAAAAAAAATCAATCCAGATATAAATATAATCATTATTATGCTGCTAAATGAAAGATTTAAATGTTTGCCAGACAATAAAGTCTATGCTTACTTTACAATATTTTTATTATTCTGGTACAAATCATGCTAATCCTATCAGGATAATAATTAACTATGTAATATTGTGTTCAGGTAAAAAATATAGGACTTGAATACATCTTAGGAAAGGGTTAACTACAAAATTTGAATTGATTTATTGTTAGAGGGGTTCTGGAAGTTTTATGAATGCAGCTAAATGACAAATGAATGTTTAATGTGCCATTTATAAATCCTAACTGTCTCTACAAAGTATATAAATTGCTGTAGACTGCAGTTGTTTTGGAAAGAGGCTACAGAAAAGAGAATTTATAGATACTTGTTATAGCTGCATTGATATAATTAAAAACTTTTTGCCATAAATCAAGACAAAGGACCAGGGATGGGGAAATGGAATATCATTGTTAATTTCTTCCTATTTGGTTCTCTTTACTCTCTTAATAATTGTCAATTTTTCTTCACTATAATTCAAGAAAATGATGTCTTTAAAAGTGGATATCTTTTTATGCAAACAAAATCTCTCGAGTCATTTGCAATTCAATTAAATCAATCAATGTTTCAATGGTTTAGATTGAAAAGTTTTGGTTTATGTAAAGACTATGGATTTGAGCAGTATTTTGCTCAAGTTGATTACTTTTTGGATGAGATAAAAATGAAATCAGTTTCTATAAATAAAGTAAACCCTTGCTGCAGTTAGTGAGTATTTTTATGAATTTTTAAAGAGTGCACATGTCATTGTATCTTGAGGCTAGATTTTTCTGTTAGAAAAAACTACTCCTCCCATGCGAATGTACCTATGTACCTATGGAGGTTTCAAACACACCCTACCTAGTATGTTTATCTAATACCTTTTCCCTAATACTAAACTAAAAGCCTAGTAACAATAAATCTGTCATGTAATTTTCAAAATAAGCTTTTCCTAAAATATATTCATTGTTTGGATATTTGACACATTGGTACATTCACACCCAACCCTGTTTCAAAAATACACTTTAATCTCATAAAAGAATATTCAAATGACAAATCATATCTATATATCTGCAGCAATGTTGAAAAGGAAGATATCTTTGAAAGAGTGATTTTGAAATGTTTTAAAAAAAATTCATCTTGTAAATATAAATTTTTTCATCAATTTTGTATTTTTCTCTATTTCCTTATAAAAATGTTACACATTTGAAATAGACATATTTGCAAGAAGTTTAAACATCTCTTTGTTTGAACTCTTTTTAAGATACCAAAACAATATATTTAGAATCAATTCAACACAGGATGCACGTGTTATTTGTAGAAGAAGTCATTTAACAGTTAATCATACTTTTCATATTCAAAAACCAGTAGCAAATGTCATGCTTTTGAACCAAGGTTCAATAACAGTAACTTTGAATATGCAGAAGGAGAATAAAACAGTTTTATGCAACTATTTGGAACTTGAAGGTGGGTTTTTTATGCTATAACTCCTACAAACTCATTTTTTATGTTGCTTGCTGAAATTTTTAGACTTTAATATTTCGATGTCTAAAAAGATTTATCTGAAGAGTTACAATAGATACTTTGAACTCACTGAGGGTGAGGAATTTTCAAAGGACCAGATTTTTACGATAAATTCGAAAATGTATGGCTTTAACTTACTTGTGTCCAAACAAGACTATAGAACAAGACTTGCACTATCCTTTTTAATGTGTAAAACATTGAAGCTGAATCCTGGACCTAGTATAACTCTTCTTGCAATGTATAGAAATAGCTATAAAAAGCTGTTAGCTCATACCATCTCTGTAGAAGGTTGTAAAATGAGAACAAAGCAAAACATAGTTACAGGATGTTATTTTGATACTTCTCCAAAGACAAAAGTAGCATTCGTACAAAATATTGAATGCCAAAGTAAACATTATAAAGGTAGGTTTGTAGGTACAAATATCAAAGGACAATGATCTTGATTCATTAGCTATGGGTCATAGAAAATGTAGGAAACTGTCTTTTAAGAATTAGTCTAACTCTAAATTGGGTGTGATGGAAGACATCCACAAATTTATGGTTTTGCCCTAACCTTTTCGAAGGCTAAATTTTGGGTTGAAAAGTGTTGTATGCTTGTCACTTTAAACTTTAATAGCTATACATATGTGGACATTTTCCTTAACCCCTCCAACCCTTCTCTAAATCTTACATTAAAAACCCAGAATTTATTGAAAGGGATCAACTGTCCAAACATAAAAATTGATAAATAATCCTTCCTTAACCTATTTTTTAGAGAAAGAGATTGTATTTGAAACTATTTTGAAAAATAACCAAACAAATGAAATTACTGGATTTGTTCATATTAAATTGAATAATGTACATTTCCATATAGAAGTGTTAAAATATAATGAAATTCAAATTATATGCAAAAGCCTTGGCTATACTTCTGGATCAATTTCACCTGAGACATATGGATATTTTTTCAGTGAATATGACATTCAATCCCAGGAAAAGAAAATGTTTATTTCACATTTACAGTGTGATAGTACAGTATCCAAAATTAGAGATTGTAAAGTACATTACAAAAGTAATCGGTAAGCCTATTTGTAAATATTTCAGTGCTATTCAATTTCTATTCA